TTTGCAAATCTGAATGTTCTGCACTCTACTCTGTTTCTATGACCATCATAAACAGCCTCAAATGGCAGAGGTATGGAACTGATAATAGGATATCGATTTCTCCACCTTCCCCTCTGTTCACATGAACAAAGAAGACTCGGGGGGACCATTGTGCATCCCCATCATAGCATTTTATTGTCTGTTGAACTGGAGACAGTCTTCCTTTGATTTCCTTTCATTCTGTGCTCCTTCCTTGATTTACATGGGGCTACGTTGACTATCTTATAATTATAGCTGTCTAGAGAATTTGTGGAATGTGGTAATCTGATGTAACGCCAGTTGTGAGAATAATCATGAGAGTGACATGCATTGTGTCTTGCTGAGAGGTCTCTGACAAACAACTGAGGTGAACCAGGTGGGTGACTGGAAATTAGTGCAATTCAATCACAGGTTTAGATTCGCAGGAGGGAAGAAATGTGGTACTCAGACAACTAAGGAATGAAGCTGGATTGGAAGCTATTCAGCAGCAGGAGCTATTGATCGAAAAAGCAACACCAAAGTGGAGCGGAGTCTTCTTTTTTGTCCCCCCCCCAAGAAAGACGAAAACCAAAGAAAGAGATGTGTGGGGAGAAGGGCGATCCAATATTAACAATAACTGAATTGTGCAATATGAAGGATTATTATTATTATTATTATCCAACCTATTTGGTCTTAGGGGGTCGGTATTGTTGGGCAATCCCAACTCCAATCCCTGAGGCCTCCTAGACCTCATTCTCTTCTTCCTGACTTGTTCCTGCATCTTCAGTTTGTGGGATATATCTTCACTGAAGCAGTCAAACACAACATTTCCTGTTTTCTAGAGTGGACACACGGGGGAATGTTGCTCCAGACAGAGAGGACTTCCTGTCATACCTGCTCTAGAGCATCCTCCCCCTGTATGTGACCAGGTAGATGGGCGTGACCCTAGCAGACCCTATAAAAGGGCTAGCCATGCAGCCATCTTCCTCTCTTTTGACTCTTTGGCTCTTTGGCTCTTTGGCCATCTTCCTCTCTGCTGGCTCTTAGCCAGCAGCCCATGGCTCATCCTTACAGAGGATGGAAACCACAAGGTAGAAAGTCTGAGGCCTAGCTCAGACTTCTTTTCTCTACAAATGTAACTGTAACCACAAGATAAAGCCTGCCTTCGGGACCATACTGTGAACTGAATGTAAGTAAACTTTACCATTACTTTTAGAGAAGATTGCCATGTTATTATTGTTTTTAAGAGGGAAATAAAGGGGAAATTTACCAGGAACAATCCAATCTAGACAAGCCAGACTGGATTGCTTCACTTAAATGATTCTAACAAATCCATCAACTTGCTTCCAGCGATGTGCAAGGGAATGTGCTCTGCTGCTTGCTCACTAGCGTGAGTGAGGAGGGATAATATTTAGTCAATATATCCTCTCCTACTTTCCTCAACATTCCCACACAACTGCCCTCTCCCAGGACCGCAGCAAGAGGATCAAAGCAGTGCCGGATCTACAAATTTTGCCATAGGGGACAAAGGTCTCTCCTTCATGGCCTATTCAGGCTACCTTCTCTCAGCAGTGGAGGCACAAAGGGGACACAAACATCACTGCTGTCATGATCACCATCAAGAGAAGCAAGTCTGCAAAGTCACATCCAGTCCTGCCACAGCTTCTCATCTTCCTGTCCCTGGGGTGTGCAAGGAGGCGGGCCTTTCTGTGGCCACCCACCTCTTCAAATGGAACTTCTGCTTTTCAGAAAAGGTAGGTGGGTCCTAGCCAGCCATGCCACATTGTTGTCAGGGCCTGACTCCTCCTTTATGTTCCAGCCGGCCGCTGCAATACCCACGTGGTGACTCCTTACACTGTAGCCAGGCTCTGTGTATTAAAAGAGGTGGGTGGGTCATCAGCAAGGCAGGATGCTGTACTGCCAAAGACCCCTAATCTGTTTCCCCTTGCTTGTCCTGCTTGATCCAGGCCTGGGTCGTGGGGAAGGAACAGCAACTTATGCATGCTTTGACCCATCTCTCTGGGAAGTAGTATAGATGAAGAGAAAGGCAAGTGAATGGGCAGCAGAAAGAGCAGTGAGTGCAGTCAGGGTGGGGTTCCCTTGGCAACATCATGCCTAAATCCAGCCTTGGAACTGGTACTTGTTTGGACTCATTCACCTTTCCACATGTAATCTTGGACTCATTCACCTTTCCACATGGAATCTTGGACTCATTCATCATTCCACATGGACTCAGTCACCTTTCAACATCGACTCTTGGATTCATTCACCTTTCCATGTGGACTCATAGCAGATAATCCACAGAGTCTCCGAAGCGTTAGTACTAATTCTGCCTTGTGACCTTTGGGCACTAAATCAGTGGACAATTAATTAAAGCATGCAAACAGGGCCCATTTAGTAGAGCAGGCAGGCTGACGTATTTACAGAATTGGGAAGGTGGGGAATCTTAGCACAAAAGGAACAAATAATTCTTTGAAAGATCAGCAAATGTTGAGAAGCAAGTAGAGGTAGAAAGCGCTATCCTTAAATATTGAAAATTGAGATGAGTGACGAAGATGAAAGGCCTAAGATGACAATACAACCTATTAAAGCTCCATGTTTTTCCACAGTATAAGTTAGTAGAGTCAGGACTCAATTCAGTCTAGTATCAGACACTGTTTTGGGACATGTGAAATTGGGAACTTTATTGTGAAGTTTGTGTTTCAGTTGTCGTAACTCACCCTGGGAGCTTAGGTAATAAATGACAACAACAACTGACAGTGCCCTGTGCAAAAAAAAAAAAGTAGTGAGCTGGACTCTATTCTATGACATGTTTTGGGGCACCCCCCCCCCCGTATGGAGGGGATGTGTCATTTGGGGTAACCCAATGTTTATATTGAGGTGCACAGCTACAGGTCACTTATTCAAAGCTACAGAATGAGATTGTTGCATATTAATGTGTCGTGTGCAAAAGAAACACTTTTTGCCTCAGAGAACATACCCTCCAAACTTTCTCTGATGAAAATAGGGATGTCCTACTCAATAATCCCCCCCACACCTAGTCAGATGGCGGGGTATAGAGAGTTTATAACTATTATTTTACTATTTATACCCCACCCATCTGACTGGATTGCCCTAGCCACTCTGGACCGCTTATATTAAAACATATATAAAAACATTAAGCATTTTTAAAAATGCCTTCAGATGGTTTGGGGGTCTTTAGACGGAGTGCTTTCAGACAGCGGTGGAGCAAGCCGATCGGGCAACTGGGGCCCAGGGGCGGGGCCTGCTGCCCACAGGAGTGGGGCCAGCCATCTGCGGGGCGAGGCGAGCTGGGGCAGGACGCTCCGTGGGGCCTCAGAAGATTCTGTCTGCTTCCTCCCACTCAGCCGCCCTACAGCTGAGAGGGAGGTGGCGGGAGGACCATTTGGGGCAGCGTGGAGCCTGCAGGTGCCCAAGCCAACGTGTCACTCCCAAGAGAGATGCGTGGCTCGGGCACGTTGCAGGCCCCACGGTGAGTGCCGCCCGGCATTTTGTCACCCCCCTCAGTGGTGACACCCAGGGTGGACCACACCCACCACCACCCCTTCCTCCACCTTCTTTCAGATGGCTCAGGTGTTGGTTAACTCCATACCCTTCAACATTTCCCTGGTGAAAATAGGGATGTCCTAAGGAAAAGTGGGTCATTCGGGATCAAGTCAGAAATTGGGAACTATTTTAACAAGATATTGGGAAAAATATTATGTTTGAACAATGGGAAAAATTGTGGAAAGAAGATATGAAATTCACTATGTGTTATAAACTGAAAGAAAATTACCTTAAAATGCAACATAGATGGTATTTAACACCTGAAAGAATAGCAAAAATGAATAAAAATTGTAGCGATGTCTGCTGGCGATGCAACATGGGAAAAGGTACTATGATACATATACGGTGGAATTGTTTAAACATCAAACAATTTTGGGAAATAATATATAATGAAATGAAAAAAATGTTTAGATACTCATTTAGGAAAACACCAGAAGGTTTTCTATTGGGAATAGTACCAGGAAGCCTAAAGGAAGAAGATAAGACCTTATATTTATACGCAACAGTAGCAGCAAGGCCATTGATTGCGAAAAACTGGAAAAGTGGTATAATACTGACAAAAATAGAGTGGCTTGCCAAATTATTGGAGTATTACAATATATCCAAAACAATGGAAGAAATTGGAAGGATTTCAAAAGAAAAGATAGATAGGGACTGGAAGGTGTTTAAAAGATACTTACAAAATCATATCGAAAAATCAGAACTCCTATTAGAATAAACAAGTTCCGTTTCAAATACTGAAATATCAAATAAGATGGATAACAATGTGTAATAGAAAAAGAAGTATTGAAGGGAGAGGAGTGAAGAGGTGGGGGAAGGTAAAAACTCCATCGTGCTTGCAGCTTCAGTGTGCAACATGGCTCTGCGGGCAGACAGTGGTTTTCCTGTCTGCCGTCCTACTTAGCTGAAGCAAAAGAAACTCAGCTCGGCAGGCCGGTAGTGGTTTCTTATCTGCTTCAGTTGTGGTGAGCTAGCTTCTCACCTCAGCTGTGCAAAATGCAAACACTTATAATGCAAAGCAAACAATATGCAAAGGTGGGGGAGGAGGGCTTAGCTAGCCCAATAAGGTAATAAAGTGTATCTCTGCCTGTTGATTGGGGAGCAACTGGGGGCCAAGCTTGCAGCTTCAGCATAAGAATGCTTGGAAGACAATAGGCGGCGGCCAGTCTTTTGGAAGCTATTCCACTGGCTAACTCTGCGCAGATTTGCAATAAACCTTTTTCTCTGTGGAACCCACCCTGGTGTATTTTTTTGACTCCTTCATGCTAACAGCAGGGGCAGGTGACTGGATCCGGACCCCTTAGGATCAGATATCCTAACATATCTGGTGCGTTGGCCGGGAAGCCACCTCTCCTGCTGCTTGAGCTTGAAGGCCAGGCTCGACTGGACGAACAGCTTGGATCGGCGTAGACGGCTCCAGCGCGCACCCGCCAGTTGCGGGAGGAATCCATCACTCCGTTCCTGAGTGGAGACGTCCGGTCGTGGGAGAAAAAGGATCGGCCGAGGGAGGACACAGGGTGTGTCTCAGGACATAGAGGTAAGCTCTTGGGGAAAGAGAAGAGCTGGAGATCTGATCAATCTCACCTGGAGTGTGGCAATAAAGTGCCCCCAGGAAGGCTTGGCCGGGACAGTGGGGTCCTGCTGCCAGTGTGTGGAAAGGAAAAAGGGGGGGGTCCCTCTGCCAGTCTGTGGAAAGGAAAAGGGTGGAGGGTGTGGAGGTGGACTGTGAGATTGTGGAGGTGAACTGTGTGTTGTATGACCAAATACTCCAGTGAAAGGATGAATGTGTGAGAGGTCGGGGCTTAGCGTCTCCGTGGCCAAGCGTGTCTAGGGCTGTGCTCGTCCAAGCCACAGTCTGTAGTGTGTGAAGTGGGCAAGGTGCTGATTTTGGCTAGGAGCGGAGTATTCTGGTAAACATGGGTTCAGGAAGCAGTAAATGTACACCTTTGGAATGCTTCCTGAACAACTGGAAATTGGCCACAAAGGATGATGAGGGGGATGAGGAAACACTGTTAAAGATGTTGGAAGAGAAGGTACAGAAGGGGGAGAAGTGGAGTAAGAAGCAAGACAAATGGATAAAGGACTATGTAGACCCCTATAAAGACCAAGTGGATGTTAGTCCCCACCTTTTAGAAGTGGCACGTTGTGAGGATGGGCGCTGGAAGAAGAAACAAAAGAGGTGGCTGGAGGCAGCACGTAGAGCCGCCACCCACCATGAGAGAGAGAGAGGGAAGAAAGATCAGGCTACAGCCTTGATGCCCCTCCGGGTAGTTTATGACCCCCCGGGACCGCCAGGGGAGAATGGGGCAGCAGCACCACGCACCTACACAATCCAACATGTGCCTTTTTCAACTGCTGATATTTGCAATTGGCGCAATCAAAACCCCTCCTTTGAGGAGAACCCAGCCAAAATCATCAAACTTTTTGAAGGGATCTTTAAAACTTATGACCCTACCTATGATGATGTTCAATATCTTTTGGACTCTCTGTTAACAACGGAAGAAGTCCGGAGGGTCCATAGTGAGGCAAGGGCGCATCTGAGGCAGTTACAATTAAATGATAACCAAATGAATGATGCCTACCCCCGAGCCACTCCTAATTGGGACTATCAGGATCAGAATGCTCGGACCGCCCTGGCAACATACAGGAACCTGCCCGGGGAGGAGGGCGCGGCCGCCTGGGACGCAACCAGTGCGCCATCTGCCGCCAAGAGGGCCACTGGAAGAACGAATGCCCTCAGGGAAGAACCGGAGGCAGGGGAGGCCGGATTCCTGGCACCATCCCCATGGGAGATGGCACTGACTTAAGACCCTGGGGTGCGACTGGGGGACCCTCCAGGGGACGAGGAAGGGGAAGAGGAGGCCTTTGGTACCCGCCTGGGAACCGAGGACAGGCTGAAGCCATGAGCCTGCAGCAACACCAGGATGAATATTAGGACAGACCGGGCCCAACTAATTTAGGTTCCCGTGAGCCCATGGTCAAAATGCAAGCAGGGAACCACATGATTCCTTTTATGGTGGACACGGGTGCCGCTTACTCGGTCGTCCCAACCCCCGTTGCGAAACTAACTACAGAATTCATTAATATAGTGGGAGCCACTGGAAAGTCCCAGCAGGCACCATTTCTACAGCCGGTCACCTGCAAATTAGGAGGCCAAGTGGTGCAGCATAATTTTCTGTATGTTCCTGAATGCCCTATTCCATTGCTGGGAAGAGACTTGTTGTCCAAATTACAAGCCCAGATCACTTTTAAACCATCCAGAGAGGCCACCATGTCCACAATGCCACCCGGAGAATTGGTTGTGGAAGCACCCCTGAGGGAGTATTGGCGCCTCATGATGATAAAAGAAGAGGAGGGCCCATTCCAACCAGCCTCCTAGAACAAGTAAATCCTGAAGTATGGGCTGAAGGCAACCCTCCTGGCATGGCTAAAAATATACCCCCAATAATTGTAAGGACGAAGCCCTTCGCGAATCCGGTGGCTGTGAACCAGTACCCCATCCCTCGAGCGGCGGCAGAAGGAGTGTGGACTCACCTGCATAGGCTCCTACAACATGGCATCTTGAAACCCTGTCAATCCCAGTGGAACACTCCCTTGTTTCCAGGAGCTCCGCGGTTTCTTGGGATCTGCGGGTTTTTGCAGAATTTGGATTCCCAACTACAGCGAAATTGCACGGCCGCTGCATGAGTCTACTAGAGGAACAGAGAAGGATCCCTTTATCTGGGGCCCTGAGCAGCAACAAGCCTTCCAAGGCTTCAAGACGGCCCTACAACAGGCCCCAGTTCTGGGAATCCCAAACCCAGAGAAGCCATTTACCCTCTATGTGGATGAGGACCAAGGAACAGCGAAAGGGGTCCTTTGCCAGAAACTAGGAAGTTGGCAACAGCCTATAGCCTATTTGTCTGAAAGGCTGACCACCACGGAGCAAGGCCTGCCCCCCTGCATGCGGGCAGTAGTAGCAGTGGCCTGCTTGCTTAATAAGGCTGACAAGTTTGCCTTTGGACAAGACATCACATGCGTCACCCCACACGCAGTACCCGCCCTACTGGATATGAAGGGCACTTACTTCCTATCCCAAGCTAAGATGATGAAGTGCCAGACTTTGCTGATGCACCCACGCTTGAGGTTCCATGTCACAGAGGCCCTCAACCCAGCTACTCTGTTACCTGTAGGAGAGGAAGAGGAGCCAGCCCACGATTGCATACAGGTCATGGATGAAGTCTACTCCAGTAGACCAGACCTTAAGGATGAAGCCAATCCAGCGTGGCCTTCCTGGTTTGTGGATGGCAGCAGCTTCGTGGAAGAGGGACAACGGAGAGCAGGATATGCCATCGTGGCCCTCGAGGATGTAGTCATTGAAGCCTGCCCCCTCCCACCAGGAACATCAGCTCAACTGGCAGAAATTACTGCTTTGACACGAGCCCTGCGCCTGGCTGAAGGTACAGATGTTAACATCTATACGGACTCTAAGTATGCTTTCCTTACCCTGCACGCTCATGGCGCCCTCTGGAGAGAACGAGGACTGCTGACCTCGAAAGGGAGCCCTGTGGCCCACCCACAAGCACTCTTGGATCTCTTTGATGCAGTGTGGGCACCCCGCCAAGTGGCCGTTGTGCACTGCTACGGCCACCGGACAGAATCCAGTGATGACGCCCGAGGAAATCGTTTGGCAGATCGAATAGCCAAAGAGGCGGCGCGACGGCCAAACCCGGCCCCCCTCGTTGCTGCCTTGATACCTGAGCCAGTCTTGGACACCAGCCTCAAGCCCCACTATACCACCCAGGAGGAAATGACAGCCAACACTGAGGGACTGGACATTTCGAAGGATGGCTAGTACCTTACCCCAGATGACCGCGTGTGGGTCCCAGAATCCCTAGCCCGCCAAGTGGTTCAGCGCTACCACGATTCCTTACATGTAGGACCAGATGCCATGACCAAGCAGCTGGGAAAGTGTTTTACATCTCCAAGCTCTATCAACTGGCTTCACAAGTCTCTAAGCGTTGTGCCCTATGCCAGAAGAACAACCCTAGGGCCGGCCTTCTGCCTCCTCCAGGAATTCAACATTGTGGCACAGCACCCATGGAAGATTTGGTTGTGGATTTTACCGAGCTGCCCCGTTGTGGCCTATATCGTTACCTCCTTGTGGCTGTGTGCCACCTTATACAGGGTGGGTGGAGGCCTGGCCCACCAAGACTGAGCGGTCATCTGAGGTTGCTAGGTGTCTGCTCCGGGAAATCATTCCCCGCTATGGCTTGCCCCGCTCCATAGGGTCGGACAATGGTCCAGCTTTTGTGCACAAAGTTTTGCAGGAGATAGCTAAGCTCTTGCAGATAAATTGGAAGTTACATAGTGCATACCGACCCCAGGGTTCTGGAAAAGTAGAGAGGATGAACAGGACTTTGAAAAATCAACTGTCCAAATTGACACAGGAGACAGGGTCCAATTGGGTAGCAATGTTGCCCCTCGCCCTGCTCCGGGTTCGAAGTCTCCCATCCAAGCGAACCCATCTCTCTCCCTTTGAACTGATGTTTGGGAGACCTGTTCCCTATGTACGCATGCTTTCCCCCACCCCGGTCCAGGATGTTGAAACAGATCATTATGTGCAGTCACTCTCCCGCACTCTTCTTTCTCTCAACAGGTGGACCCAGGCTCGTACCCCGTGTGTGCTAGTCGAGCCCCTACACCGTTTCGCGCCAGGCCATGATGTGTGGGTGAAAGACTGGGCCCAAACTCCGCTACAGCCTTGCTGGAAGGGTCCCTACACTGTGCTTCTTTCTACACCCACTGCTGTCAAGGTTGCTGGCATCGCCCCTTGGGTCCACCATACTCGTGTGAAGGCGGCATCATCAGACTGGACTGTGTCTCCTAACCCGCAAGATCCTCTTCGGCTGACCATCTCCAGGCGCCCGACGGACGACTGCCCTGCTGCTGTCACTCCAGGAAGCTGATAGCTCTACGCACGGCCGAAGAAAAGGATGGGAGGGGTACCCAACGCCAGTACCCCCAACGTTCCTGATAGCCAAGCCCTTCCCCACGCCCCTATCATGCCTGATATGTGGTGGGAGGAACCCTGGACTCCCGGGGCTTGGTGGGCTTGGGTTCTGTGTATGCCCCTGATTTTCTTGATGCTTTTGTATTTCTGCTGGCACGAACGCCCCCGGGATGGATGGGGAGGATATTTACTATGGTTGCGGGCCCCCTGGTGCTTTTAGTGCTTCTCTGCTTCTGTATTCCCTGCTTGATGCAATGCATGCAGAATATGATGGAGAAAATGATGTCTCGCATGATGGGCCCCCGTGTGATAGCTTACCTGAGGGAGTATCGCCCTGTCCCTGTTGATGCACCTGACGGTGATCAAGAAGAAGAGGAGGGAGTGAAGGGAGAGGAGTGAAGAGGTGGGGGAAGGTAAAAACTCCATCGTGCTTGCAGCTTCAGTGTGCAACATGGCTCTGCGGGCAGACAGTGGTTTTCCTGTCTGCCGTCCTACTTAGCTGAAGCAAAAGAAACTCAGCTCGGCAGGCCGGTAGTGGTTTCTTATCTGCTTCAGTTGTGGTGAGCTAGCTTCTCACCTCAGCTGTGCAAAATGCAAACACTTATAATGCAAAGCAAACAATATGCAAAGGTGGGGGAGGAGGGCTTAGCTAGCCCAATAAGGTAATAAAGTGTATCTCTGCCTGTTGATTGGGGAGCAACTGGGGGCCAAGCTTGCAGCTTCAGCATAAGAATGCTTGGAAGACAATAGGCGGCGGCCAGTCTTTTGGAAGCTATTCCACTGGCTAACTCTGCGCAGATTTGCAATAAACCTTTTTCTCTGTGGAACCCACCCTGGTGTATTTTTTTGACTCCTTCATGCTAACAGCAGGGGCAGGTGACTGGATCCGGACCCCTTAGGATCAGATATCCTAACAGTATGAAATTAGGCTAAAGGTGTGTGAAAGAAAGTAATAGAAGTGGAAAGAAATTGTAATTGAGTAGATTGGAAGTCAAACACAAAGGTGGGGTGAGGGGTGGTGGATGGTGATGGGGAAAGGAATTATTTGTGGGATTGAGTGTAAGTATGTTTGAACACTTTTAAGGATTGTATGAAATGTATGTTTGTATGCTTGTATATGTGTATTAATGATGAACTATTTTAACAATAAAAACTTATTAAAAAAACAACAACCAGAAATTGGGATGGCTTTTGTAAATCCAGGACTGTCCCTGGAAAATAGGAACACTTGAGGGGTCTGAGGGAGTGATGACGCACCTCAAAAGGAAGAGTTCACTTCTGATGGAGTTATGTGATATGGGGAAATACTATGCATATCTTGTGGTGTTTTCTGCATAACAAACCCCCTCCCATCAGTTGTGGATTCAGGGGAAGATGCGACTTGTCCTCCATTGCAAACTGGAGAACTAGGAATCAGGGCCTTTCGTTACAAGGCCTCCTCAGTAGTGGTTCTAGTGAAGTACCTTCTTTATTTTTCCAGGCTTTTAAATCCAGTATATTCATTGCTTTTCTGGCGCTTTGTGTTTGTTCTAATTTAGTACTGCTTTTATACTGCTCTTTTATATTACGCAGATCTAATGCTCTTACTAACAATGTTTACGTCTGTAATTTCTGTTATGACCCACTCTGAGAGCCTGATTTAAGGCCAATCAAACAGGCTATAAATATACTAAAATAAGTACATCCTCATGATTTCCTTGCCCTGTGGTGATCACAAAGTTATGTCATAATTGCCTGTTGTCTGAAACAAGTCTTCATGCTGCGACTCTGCCCGCTTTGTTTGTGTTTTTATCCGTAGATGAGCAATGGAAAGAA